TTGTTTTCGAAATTTGTGACTATGATACAAGCAACAAATTGCACTATTCGTCCATCACCTATTACATAAGTTTGTCTCTACCTTAAAAAATACATTACTCTTATTATCCTAATATTTCATTATAATTACGAATATTATAAAACCGACCTAGGCATCGACCCTGAAAAAGAAAAAGATCAACGGTTAAAGGGTTGAACTGAGATCCACACGATGATTAAAAATAATTAAACAAATAAATTTACAAAAAAAATCAAAAGATAGATTTTTAGGCCAGTTATTGGACGATTTTCATAAATTTAAACTAGTGAAATCGAAAATGAATCAACAATCTTCTAAAAGTTGGGCCAGGCAGGTTCTAATTACATTGATAATTACGATCATTCCTCAATTACAATAACCATTCACGTTAAATCTTTACATGACAATAATATATGCAACTTCTTGAACATTTTGCTTTTCAACTTAGTAGTTGGTTTGATGAAAATTTAGAACAAGACTAGTCTCTATAAGAAAGACAATAAGTGGTGATTTACACGATTTTTTCTTTGAAGACTCGTACAATTAAAATGAAAAGTATAAAATTGATCATTTAAAAAAAAAAAAAAGGTTAGTAATGTAAATGCAAAATTTGTCGCATTGTATGTGGTGTAACGTATTTTTTAAATAACCTCAATTTCTCTTGTAAGTCATGTTTGCTCAAGTTTATTAACATTGAAATCCCTTATTTATAGACAAAATTGTTTATAAATACTTTCCAAACATACTTATTATCGTAATGTGATTAAACTAGAAGAGTAAAATATATTTTGTCATATTTTTCAACCCGTTAAACAATGAAATTTGTGTTTGTGAAAATTCGAGTAATAGGAGATTGGACTGAACTGATTCAACTTGATACATTTGTTCGTATAAAATTAGATCAAACAAGCTACAAGTCTAGAGCTAGAAAAGTAAAATTAAAATGTATAATATAATTTTACTTTCTTATTACTATGCTTATGTTTGGCTCATATTTATAAATTGTTATAAACGTTCAAGTCACATTTTATCTACATATTTTGTGGGATCCACAAATACGACTTGCTTATTCATTATTTATTTTGTTTAATTTATAATTTAAAAGATTTATAAAAACTATTTAGTTAAATGTGAAGTCATTGAAATCGGTGTACATCTATACTATTTAGTTTGAACGAGACCCTTTAACCTAGGCGTGAACGCGGTTCGGTTTGGGCGGTTTGTACCATATTTTCAACTCAAACCATTTCAGACGGTTTGAAATTTTTTCAAACCAAACCAAACCATAAATTGCGAGTTGGTTCGGTTTTAATCCGTTGTTAACCTATCGACATTATAATAATATATTTAAAATAAGTTAACATATAAGTTTAA